CTCCCATTGCTGCTGTCTCCATCGCCACACTCTGCCATGTGCCACTTTCAGGTCTCCTCACACACTGCTGGTGTGTTGAATTTTTTGACATAGGGTGCTGGCAGATTACGGGCCTCCCATAGCTGCTGCCAGGCCCCTAATCTGCCATGGCCCCTATATACCGCCTCCTCATGCTGCTGCCAGGTCCACAGTCTCTCATGGGTCCCTGTACGGCCTCCCATTGCTGCTGTCTCCATCGCCACACTCTGCCATGTGCCACTTTCAGGTCTCCTCACACACTGCTGGTGTGTTGAATTTTTTGACATAGGGTGCTGGCAGATTACGGGCCTCCCATAGCTGCTGCCAGGCCCCTAATCTGCCATGGGCCCCTATATATACCGCCTCCTCATGCTGCTGCCAGGTCCACAGTCTCTCATGGGTCCCTGTACGGCCTCCCATTGCTGCTGTCTCCATCGCCACACTCTGCCATGTGCCACTTTCAGGTCTCCTCACACACTGCTGGTGTGTTGAATTTTTTGACATAGGGTGCTGGCAGATTACGGGCCTCCCATAGCTGCTGCCAGGCCCCTAATCTGCCATGGGCCCCTATATACCGCCTCCTCATGCTGCTGCCAGGTCCAGAGTCTCTCATGGGTCCCTGTACGGCCTCCCATTGCTGCTGTCTCCATCGCCACACTCTGCCATGTGCCACTTTCAGGTCTCCTCACACACTGCTGGTGTGTTGAATTTTTTGACATAGGGTGCTGGCAGATTACGGGCCTCCCATAGATGCTGCCAGCCCCTAATCTGCCATGGGCCCCTATATACCGCCTCCTCATGCTGCTGCCAGGTCCAGAGTCTCTCATGGGTCCCTGTACGGCCTCCCATTGCTGCTGTCTCCATCGCCACACTCTGCCATGTGCCACACTTTCAGGTCTCCTCACACACTGCTGGTGTGTTGAATTTTTTGACATAGGGTGCTGGCAGATTACGGGCCTCCCATAGCTGCTGCCAGGCCCCTAATCTGCCATGGGCCCCTATATACCGCCTCCTCATGCTGCTGCCAGGTCCAGAGTCTCTCATGGGTCCCTGTACGGCCTCCCATTGCTGCTGTCTCCATCGCCACACTCTGCCATGTGCCACTTTCAGGTCTCCTCACACACTGCTGGTGTGTTGAATTTTTTGACATAGGGTGCTGGCAGATTACGGGCCTCCCATAGCTGCTGCCAGGCCCCTAATCTGCCATGGGCCCCTATATACCCGCCTCCTCATGCTGCTGCAGGCCAGGTCCAGAGTCTCTCATGGGTCCCTGTACGGCCTCCCATTGCTGCTGTCTCCATCGCCACACTCTGCCATGTGCCACTTTCAGGTCTCCTCACACACTGCTGGTGTGTTGTTCAATTTTTTGACATAGGGTGCTGGCAGATTACGGGCCTCCCATAGATGCTGCCAGGCCCCTAATCTGCCATGGGCCCCTATATACCGCCTCCTCATGCTGCTGCCAAGTCCAGAGTCTCTCATGGGTCCCTGTACGGCCTCCCATTGCTGCTGTCTCCATCGCCACACTCTGCCATGTGCCACTTTCAGGTCTCCTCACACACTGCTGGTGTGTTGAATTTTTTGACATAGGGTGCTGGCAGATTACGGGCCTCCCATAGCTGCTGCCAGGCCCCTAATCTGCCATGGGCCCCTATATACCGCCTCCTCATGCTGCTGCCAAGTCCCCAGAGTCTCTCATGGGTCCCTGTACGGCCTCCCATTGCTGCTGTCTCCATCGCCACACTCTGCCATGTGCCACTTTCAGGTCTCCTCACACACTGCTGGTGTGTTGAATTTTTTGACATAGGGTGCTGGCAGATTACGGGCCTCCCATAGCTGCTGCCAGGCCCCTAATCTGCCATGGGCCCCTATATACCGCCTCCTCATGCTGCTGCCAAGTCCAGAGTCTCTCATGGGTCCCTGTACGGCCTCCCATTGCTGCTGTCTCCATCGCCACACTCTGCCATGTGCCACTTTCAGGTCTCCTCACACACTGCTGGTGTGTTGAATTTTTTGACATAGGGTGCTGGCAGATTACGGGCCTCCCATAGCTGCTGCCAGGCCCCTAATCTGCCATGGGCCCCTATATACCGCCTCCTCATGCTGCTGCCAGGTCCAGAGTCTCTCATGGGTCCCTGTACGGCCTCCCATTGCTGCTGTCTCCATCGCCACACTCTGCCATGTGCCACTTTCAGGTCTCCTCACTCACACACTGCTGGTGTGTTGAATTTTTTGACATAGGGTGCTGGCAGATTACGGGCCTCCCATAGCTGCTGCCAGGCCCCTAATCTGCCATGGGCCCCTATATACCACCTCCTCATGCTGCTGCCAAGTCCAGAGTCTCTCATGGGTCCCTGTACGGCCTCCCATTGCTGCTGTCTCCATCGCCACACTCTGCCATGTGCCACTTTCAGGTCTCCTCACACACTGCTGGTGTGTTGAATTTTTTGACATAGGGTGCTGGCAGATTACGGGCCTCCCATAGCTGCTGCCAGGCCCCTAATCTGCCATGGGCCCCTATACCGCCTCCTCATGCTGCTGCCAGGTCCACAGTCTCTCATGGGTCATGTACGGCCTCCCATTTCTGTCTCCTCGCCACACTCTGCCATGTGCCACTTTCAGGTCTCCTCACACTGCTGGTGTGTTGAATTTTTTGACATAGGGTGCTGGCAGATTACGGGCCTCCTATAGCTGCTGCCAGGCCCCTAATCTGCCATGGGCCCCTATACCGCCTCCTCATGCTGCTGCCAGGTCCAGGCGAACGTAGTCACACAGGGGAGGAACTTATCAGTGTAATGAACAGAGAAATCGACAGATGGCTGTCTCCGCGCGCAAACTGAAAATCGGAACCATGTTGACCGACAACGGAAAGAACATGGTGTCTGCTCTGCGTCAAGTAAGGTTGTGCCATGCGCCATGCATGGCTCACGTGTTCAATCTGGTTGTCAAGCGGTTCCTAAAATCCACCATCCCACTGCAAGACATCCTTAAAATGTCACGTAAACTTTGCATGCATTTCAGCCATTCCTACACCGCAAAGCACACCCACCTTGAGCTGCAGCGGCAGAACGGAATTCCACAGCATCGCCTGATCTGCGACGTTGCAACAAGGTGGAATTCAACCCTACACATGTAGACCGCCTTTACGAACAGCGAAAGGCCATCACCGATTTCCTGATGTTACAAGCGGATAAAGGTACTCCCCTGTGTAACTTCGATGTCAGCCATTGGCAGCTCATGCGTGACACCTGCCGCTTGCTCAGGCCCTTTGAGGAGGCCACGCTATTCGTGAGTCGGCAGGACTATGGGATGAACGACATCATTCCTCTGTTGCACGTCCTGGAACAAATGCTGTTAACAATGGCTGGTCAGGGTGCGGTAGACGTGGCGCACAGATCTCAACGCCACATGACCCCTGTGGGGGCAGGACAGGAAGAAGAGGAGGAGGTAGAGGAGGACATTGGTGCTCAGGAATTATTGAGTGAAATGGGTGGTTTTTCCACTCAGCGGACAGGAGTGGAGGAGCAGGAGCATCTGGTAGAGGAGGAGGAGGAGGAGACAGAGGACCCAGACGCACCGTGGCAGTATGCTGTGGAGATGGAGGCAGGGAGTCCCTCGCATTCCTTGGCACAAATGGCCCATAGCATGCTCGCTTGCTTGCGTAGCGACAGCCGAATAATAACCATCAGACAGAGGGATGACTTTTGGCTGTCCACCTTGTTGGACCCTCGCTACCGTTCAAAAATGGTGGCCTTTTTCACACCTGCTGAGAGGGAGGCCAAAATAACGTACTATAAAAACCACCTATGTAGTCAGTTGGTCTCTGCCTTTGTGCGCCAACGTCCATCCTCAGACACTGTGGGCCCTGTGCGCTCGCGTTCCGCTGCCATGGCAGCAGGGGAGGGGTGGGGTGGTAGGAGCAGTGGCAGCTCCACCAGCAGCGGCTGCCTCAGTCTGCAGTCGATGATGAGTAGCTTTCTTCACCAGCGCAGTGAGGAAACTACTAACCAGCCGCAGCAGCAGCAGCAGCAGCATCAGGTGGACCTGGAGCAGGACATCAAACAACAGGCTTGGGCCTACTTGGACAGCACCCTGCCAACCGAGGTAGACAATCCCCTTGACTACTGGGCAACGAAACTTGACCTTTGGCCCCAACTAGCTGAATTTGCCCTTGAAAGGCTGTCATGCCCGGCCAGTAGCGTGGCATCGGAGCGCGTGTTTAGTGCGGCAGGAGGTATTGTAACTCCGCGGAGGACACGACTGTCCACCCAAAGTGTGGAGAGACTCACGTTTGTGTGAAAATGAATCAGGCGTGGATTAGTCTGGATTTCAATCCACCAGTTCCTGACACAACTGACTAAATCCGCCATGAATCATGCCCCAAACATGTGCCACTTTCAGGTCTCCTCACACTGCTGGTGTGTGTTGAATTTTTTGACATAGGGTGCTGGCAGATTACGGGCCTCCCATAGCTGCTGCCAGGCCCCTAATCTGCCATGGCCCCTATATACCGCCTCCTCATGCTGCTGCCAGGTCCACAGTCTCTCATGGGTCCCTGTACGGCCTCCCATTGCTGCTGTCTCCATCGCCACACTCTGCCATGTGCCACTTTCAGGTCTCCTCACACTGCTGGTGTGTTACATTTTTTGTCATAGGGTGCTGGCAGATTACGGGCCTCACATAGCTGCTGCCAGGCCCCTAATCTGCCATGGGCCCCTATACCGCCTCCTCATGCTGCTGCCAAGTCCAGAGTCTGTCATGGGTCCCTGTACGGCCTCCCATTGCTGCTGTCTCCATCGCACACACTCTGCCATGTGCCACTTTCAGGTCTCCTCTTCACACTGCTGTGTTTTCAATTTTTTGACATAGGGTGCTGGCAGATTACGGGCCTCCTATAGCTGCTGCCAGGCCCCTAATCTGCCATGGGCCCCTATATACCGCCTCCTCATGCTGCTGTCCCAGGTCCACAGTCTCTCATGCCATGTGCCACTTTCAGGTCTCCTCACACACTGCTGGTGTGTTCAATTTTTTGTCATAGGGTGCTGGCAGATTACGGGCCTCCTATAGCTGCTGCCAGGCCCCTAATCTGCCATGGGCCCCTATACCGCCTCCTCATGCTGCTGCCAGGTCCACAGTCTCTCATGGGTCCCTGTACGGCCTCCCATTGCTGCTGTCTCCATCGCCACACTCTGCCATGTGCCACTTTCAGGTCTCCTCACACACTGCTGGTGTGTTCCATTTTTTGTCATAGGGTGCTGGCAGATTACGGGCCTCCCATTGCTGCTGCCAGGCCTGTAATCTGCCATGGGCCCCCGTACCGCCTGGTCACGCTGCTGCTGGGTCCACAGTGTGACATGGGTCCCTGTACCGCCTCCCATTGCTCCCACTCTGCCATGTGCCACTTTCAGGTCTCCTCACACTCCTGCTGGTTTCCATTTTGTCATAGGTTGCTGGCAGATTACAGGCCTCCCATAGGTGCTGCCAGGCCCCAAATCTGCCATGGGCCCCCGTACCGCCTCGTCACGCTGCTGCTGGGTCCACAGTGTGACATGGGTCCCTTGTACCGCCTCCCATTGCTCCCACTCTGCCATGTGCCACTTTCAGGTCTCCTCACACTCCTGCTGGTTTCCATTTTGTCATAGGTTGCTGTATGGCCTCCCATTGCTGCTGCCTCCACCGCCACACTGTGGCTCCAAACACTGGTTTTGGCCCCGTGACTGGCCAAATGAGTGAAGTGTGCGGTGATTCTAAGATCGACGGCACTCATCTGCATGTCATACTGAGTGACAGTATTATTTCTCTTCCCCAGAAGACTCCAAGGGCATTTAAATTAAAGGTACAGTGTTCTGCACTAATATTAAGTCTCTCTGATAAGCCTAGAAACACCCTTTTTTAAGTTAAATTCACAGCGAATTTATTCGACTCGAATCGAATATTGTCCACGAATTCGGCGAATCAGTCGAATCAAATTTTTCATTTCTTCGCTCATCTCTAATTACAATGCAAAGATAATAACACACAATCATTGTACAATAACACACAAACCCACTTTAGAAGGAAAAAAATGCATAACATTTACAGTCCACATCAAAACACAGCCTGAGTGGCGTCTGGGGCAATTCACCACAATATCTCTTCCTCCTCCAAACCACCACAGGCAAGGACTTGCTGAAAATAACCTGGCCTCTTCCAAGAAATCATCCACTACTTCAACTCTTTATATAACATAGGCCACACCCACCACTGTCATTCATTTGGTCAGAGAAAGTGTTTGCACCTGATTAATTCTCTTCCCACCTGCGTTAACCCTTGGTGTACAGGCCCCACAAATCAGAGTCAGAAAGAAATCCACAGTGAAGTGTACCTGTGCAGCATACAACAGAACATTGAACAGGGATGTGAGGGGAACCCCATAGCAATATTTATTTGCACTATTGGCACAATTCACTCCAGATTATCGCATGAGTTAAGGCAGTCACATGACCATATCTCGCATGCAATAATGAGAATGTCAATTCACTTTTGCTAGTTTGCACAATTTCTCATAAATTGGAAAAACACTCAGGAAATCAAACATAAAAAGGCCTTACACCCCAGTCACACCAAAGCCGATTTAGAAATCGTGCGACTTACAGTGAAGATGCAGATTTTTGTGATTTGCAAGACATCTGACACAGATATCTATGCAAATCGCCAAAAAAGTAGTACATGTGTCGGAAACGCACCCATGTGACTGTTCTAATAGCAGACAATAGGGGGTGCGACTTGGCATACGATTTGCAAGTCGCATGTCATGCAAATCACATGCCAAGTAGCATTCAATGTGACCGCTATTAGAGCGTTCATATTGGTGTGGTTCAAACTTGGTTGGAGCTGCAACAATTTCTAAAGTAATGAATACACTACTTTTCATGCGATTTGCAGAGAGATCTGTGTCAGATGTCTTGCAATTTGCACTTTAAATCAGCATGTCCCCCGACTTTGAAATCATGCGACTCCACTGTAAGTCACATGATGTGACCATAGTGTAAGTCGCACCACTTCAAAATCCGCTTTGATGTGACCAGGGTGGCCCCCAGTCACATCGGGTTCAATTTGGCATGTGATTTGCATGCCAGGCGACTTGCAAATTGTAGGCCAAGTTGCACCCTATTGTCCACTATAGGATACAATCACATCCAATCTGATTTTGAAATTGTGCGACTTCCCGATTTCCAAATTGGATTAGATGTGACTGTGGTGTTAGCCCTCTGTCACATCAGGTGCAATTTGGCATGTGATTTGCAAGTCGCAGGGCATGCAAATCGCATGCCAAGTCACATCCAGGGTGCGTGCTTTCAGGTGCGATTTGGGAATTGAAATTGTACCTGATATCGGATCTAATGAATGTGCATGTGAATGTCTTAACATAAGCGATTTGCTGCAGCACGATTTCAAAAGTAGTTCTTGTCTAACTTCTTCTGCATTTTGTAGCGATTTCACATATATAGACTACAATAGAAATCACAATGCAAAACACAATTGAAAACGCAATAACGCATTGGTAAATCTACAGAAAACATGGTGAAATTGCCAACAAAAAGCACAATTTTAAATCGCATCTAGTGTGAACCAAGCAGGCAATTCAACAAAAGAAATAAATCTTTGAAGGCATGCGGTATCTGCATGCTCGGATAAGGGTCTGTTATGGATTTGGAGGGGGACTTCATGCCATTATTTTATTAATTTTTTTTAACCCTTTTCTCTCTCTCCTCTCTCTCAGCTCTTGGCTTGACAAATCCTTCCCAGAAGGGGGCGGAGTGCAAACCAGCATTATCAAATCAATCATTAGTCCAGGCCCTTATCTCATCCCATTGTTTGACATTCACATAAGGTGCAGCTTTAAAGGTGTTTGAACAGACAAGGCCTCATTCTAATTCACATTCTAGGGATCATTTAGACAGAAAGCAAAGATGCTGCCACCAGCACATGTATGTTAGGGTACTCACACAGGGAGATCATGCAAATTCATTGCCATGCTTGAGATTCAAACCGACAACCCTAGCGCTGTGAGGCAGCAGTGCTAACCACTTATCCACTGATCTGTCACACTAATCCAGCCTCTATTTCTGTGGTGTGAATCAACCCTAAGTCCCAGGGGTATATCTGCCACAAGGCAAACAAGGCGTTTGACTAGGGCGGCAGTTTACAGGGGGCGGAACGCCCCCCCCCCCAGGCTGAAGGGACACTGTGTGTGTCAGCAGCAGGGCCGCCATGCATGAGGGTACAGCCAAGCCGATACACAAGGAGAATCACCCGTGCCAAAGGACCGGCTGAAGAGGAGAGCAGAGTGGTGGGCGGATCCCCCAGTGTGCGCTCGGAGCACGTGTGGGCCGGGGCCCACTGTCACTGTAAGCCAGGATGTGCAGGATGGCAAAAAGGTGCCACGGAGGAGGAAGAAGAAGATGATGAAGCCAGGGTGGAGGAGACTCTTGCCCTTTTTCAGACGCCGCCGGAGATCCTGGGGCGTCTGCCCACCTGTCCCTCTGCACTCCTCCTGTCCTGCTGCCCCCCATCTGCCCTCTGCGCTCCTCCTGAACCTCTGCCCCCCACCTGTCCCCCTCTGCGCTCCTCCTGTCCCTCTGCGCTCCTCCTGTCCCGCTGCCCCTCACCTGTCCCTCTGCGCTCCTCCTGTCCTACTGCCCCCCACCTGTCCCTCTGCACTCCTCCTGTCCTGCTGCCCCCCACCTGCCCTCTGCGCTCCTCCTGAACCTCTGCCCCCCACCTGTCCCTCTGCGCTCCTCCTGTCCCTGTGGGTGGATCCCCCAGTGTGCGCTCGGAGCACGTGTGGGCCGGGGCCCGCTGTCACTGTAAGCCAGGATTTGCAGGATGGCAAAAAGGTGCTAGCGGAGGAGGAAGAAGAAGAGGATGAAGCCAGGGTGGAGGAGACTCCTGCCCTTTTTCAGACGCCGACGGAGATCCTGGGGCGTCTGCCCACCTGTCCCTCTGCACTCCTCCTGTCCTGCTGCCCCCCATCTGCCCTCTGCGCTCCTCCTGAACCTCTGCCCCCCACCTGTCCCTCTGCGCTCCTCCTGTCCCTCTGCGCTCCTCCTGTCCCGCTGCCCCTCACCTGTCCCTCTGCGCTCCTCCTGTCCTACTGCCCCCCACCTGTCCCTCTGTGCTCCTCCTGTTCCACTGCCCCTCATCTGTCCTTCTGTACTCCTCCTGTTCCACTGCCCCCACCTGTCCCTCTGCACTCCTCCTGTCCCACTGCCCCCCACCTGTCCCTCTGCGCTCCTCCTGTCCCTCTGCCCCCCACCTGTCCCTCTGCGCTCCTTCTGCCCCTCACCTGTCCCTCTGCATTCCTCCTGTCCCACTGCTCCTCACTTGTCCCTCTGCCCTCCTCTTGTCCCACTACCCCCCACCTGTCCCTCTGCGCTCCTCCTGTCCCACTGCCCCCCACCTGTCCCTCTGCACTCCTCCTGTCCCACTGCCCCTCACCTGTCCCTTTGTGCTCCTCCGGTCTCGCTGCCTCGATCCTGTTACCATGCCCCGTCATGCTGCCACCCACCTGTCCCTCTGCGCTCTTCCTGTCCCACTGCCCCTCACCTGTCCCACTGCGCTCCTCCTGTCCCACTGCCCCTCACCTGTCCCTCTGCGCTCCTCCTGTCCTGCTGCCCCTCACCTGTACCTCTGTGCTTCTCCTCCTGTCCCGCTACCCCGATCCTGTCCAGTGCCCCCCATCTATCCCTTTGTCTCCCCACCCATCACATTGTCCTGCTACCCCCCCACCTGTCCCGATGGCTTAGAACTGTCCTGATATCCCCCGTCATGCTGCTCCCCTCCTGTCCCGCTGCCCACTTCCTGACCTGCAGCCCCCCATCATGCTGCCCCCCTCCTGTCCCACGACCCCCCCATGTCACCCTGCCCTCCATCATGCTCCTGTCCTAAAGAGGTGGATCTTAAACAGCAAAGGGAGGGACAAATTTAGATGGGGGTGCCCGATTTTAGTGTTGCCTAGGGCAGCACAAAAACCAAAATACACTACTGTCTGTACCCCCTCTCTTCTGTCAACCTGACTCTGTCTTCCCCTCCATTTGGCTCTGTACCCCCTCTTCTGTGCACCTGGCTGCATTCTTCCCTCTACCTGGCTCTGTACCCCCTGTTCTGTCCCCCTGGCTCCATCCTCCCCTCCATTGGCTCTGTACCTATCCTCTTCTAGTCACATACCGCCATCCTCGCCTCTACATGGCTCTGTACCCTCCCTCTCTACTGTCCTGTCCACCTGGTTCCATACTCCCCTCCATCTGTCTCTTTACCCCCCTCTCTTCTTTTCACTTGGCTCTGTCCTCCCCTCCACTGCGCTCTATACCCCCCTTTCTTTTTTCCACCTGGCTCCGTTCTCACCTCCAACTGGCTCTACACCCCCTCTCTTCTGTTCACCTGGCTCCATCCTTCCCTCCACTTGGTTCTGTACCCCCTCTCTTCTATCCACCTGGCTCTGTCCTCCCCTCCACCTGGCTCTGTACCCCCTCTTCTATCTACCTGGCTCTGTACCCCTCACTTCTGTTCACATAGCTCTGTCCTCTCCTCCACCTGACTATGTACCCCCTCTTCTGTTCACCTGGCTCCACCCTCCCCTCCACCTGGCACTGTACCCTTCCTCTTCTGTTCACATAGCTCCATCCTCCCTTCCACCTGGCACTGTACCCTTCCTCTTCTGTTCACTGCTCCATCCTCCCTTCCACCTTCTGTACCTCCTTCTCTCCTATCCACCTGGCTCCATCCTCCCCTCCACCTGGCTCTGTACCCCCTCTTTCCTGTCCACTGACTCCATCCTCTCCTCCACATGGCTCTGTACCTTTCCTCTTTTGTCCATCT